TTTCTTGACATTTTTACATTTCATCCGACACCCGTGTAAGTAGTGTGACGGTTAGCGACTCGACAATAGAAACCGGCGAGGTGAGTTCGAATTCCGACCAAGTGTGTCATATTCACTTCCGCACAAATACGCATCTCTTTCCCCTAAACTATGGGTTAAATGCCAGTGTTGACACATTTCTCTTGCCGTGAGGTGAAAAAACAGTCTATCAGGAGTTTGACCCCAGCTATGGATTAAATACCAGTGTGGACTCATCATTCTTGCCTTGAGGTATCAACCCGTCTAGAAGGAATTTAGCCCCAAATATGGATTAAATATCAGTGTGGACTCACCTCTCTTGCCTTGAGGTATCAACCCGTCTAGAAGGAATTTAGCTCCAAATATGGATTAAATACCAGTGTGGACTCACCTCTCTTGCCTTGAGGTATCAACCCGACTAGAAGTAATTTAGCCCCAAATATGGATTAAATAGGCGTGTGAATTCACCTCTGTTGCCTTGAGGTATCAACCCGTCTAGAAGGAATTTAGCCCCAAATATGGATTAAATATCAATGTAGACTCACCTCTCTTGCCTTGAGATGTCAACCTGTTTAGAAGGAATTTAGCCACAAATATGGATGAAATTCCACTGTGGACTCACCTCTTTTGCCTTGAGGTGTCAACCTGTCTAAAAGGAATTTAGCTCCAAATATGGGTTAAATACCAGTGTGGACTCACCTCTCTTGCCTTGAGGTATCAACCCGTCTAGAAGGAATTTAGCTCCAAATATGGATTAAATACGAGTGTTCACTCACCTCTCTTGGTTTGAGGTGTCAATCCGTCTAAAAGGAATTTAGCTCCAAATATGGGTTAAATACCAGTGTGGACTCACCACTGCTGCTGTACTTGCAGGAAATGTGGTGCCCCTGGGTTCCTACATTTTTCTTGTTACCTCGAGTTCCTTGCCAGATTGAAAGAAAATTAGCCCACACGGCACATAGGTTAATTTTAGTATCATTCTTATTGTGAGTACGTTCGTTTCTGTGAGCGCATTATATGTGAATTCAACCTAAACATATTTGTGAATTACTTTTTTTTTTGTATCTTTAAAAATAATTCTATTTGTTATCGAATAATTTCCGAAAGTGGGTCAATAGTATCTTTATCTGATTTTACGTTTTAAAAAAATGAAACGTTTCTTTTTCACCTCCCGAAATTTATGAGTCTATTGTTTAGCACAAGGTGAAGGTTGCTCAAACTGAGTATTATTTGAGTGTCTTTTGAAATACTCAGTCATAGTTTATGTACGTGTGTGTGCATGTGTGTGTGTGTGTGCTTTTATACACTAAGTTGTGAAAACACATGTAAATCACGAATGCACAACACCGACATACGTATATACATTCGATACGCGCATAGCCAGTCACACGCAGACGATGTGTGATGGACAGAGCACCATAGGTTCTTTAACAATATAAATTTGAGTTAACCTTCGGATTAGATATTTTGCTTTTCTTTGTTTTAACTTAAGTTATTTTTTTTTTACCATTCTCCGTTTATTAAAATATAACTTTTCTTTTGCTAATGTCACCCTATCAGTCAGCTATGCGCCATACGTGATATACACTTGAGCCATCATGTATCTTTCGATACATGACTGACGAAGCAGATTTTTTCTCACAGTAGGTTGCCATTTCTTTCTGCGGTAGGCCAGTTGCCATCCAAGGCTACAGAACCGTGTCTGTCCTGCTATTTACCCATAGCTGGAGGGAAAAGAAGAGGATTCATATCTTTTCCCAAATGTACGTTAATGAATATAATAGATTCGACTGGAATTCGAACTCGGCTCTCCGATTCCTCAATCCGAGCCGTTATCCATCACATCACCGTGCCTCCAATGTTACTCTATACAAGACCCAAGAGCCAGTCAAGGTAGAGGGTTACTGAAGTAGGTTGTTGTGTTCAGGTTATTGTAAGAGGTGCAGTTTATGAGGATGGGGTAAAGATAACGGTTAACAGGTCAAGATTGTTGTGGTCGTTAAAGCACCCTTTTTTTGGGACCCGATTCAACAAAGTAGCAGTTCCCGGAAACTTATTTCTCACTAATGGAATACAAAGGAACTATGGTTCGCATTGGTGTACGCGGCGTGGTGGGTCTTAGCTGTAAGGGTGGATCTGAAGAATGTAGCGCGTCAGAACATTCTAAATGGAAATAAAGACATACAAATGGTTGTAAGGAGGAAAGCAGTTTATCTCCAACAAGACCGCGTAGGCTGATCTGGTTCTTATACAGACAGAGCACAGCAAGAAGAGTCGGGTGCTTACTGGAGCGGTACAGGTAATCGGCCATTTTTCCAGCATCTTTAACGGTGAATTGTATGCCCGAGTTCCAGTTAAGTTTTGGGGCGAAATTAAAATTTTATCATGTAGACAAATTGTACAGAAAATAACCTTAGCGTCTTTCACTTCACAAGTAAAAAATTAATTTTCAGATAAACACATCAATTTTATCTTCGAAAAATGATGAACACAACAATTTTTTTGTCTTAGAAAAAACAATACCCCGATGATGCTGTTCTACTAATATGGAAAATACTTGTAATCAAATGAATATGCATCAACAGAGTAATTGTCTTTCTTCCTTTGATAAGAATACTAAGAAACTTGTTCGAAATTATGAGAGGATCCTATTAAAAATAAGTAGACAAAACTCATCCAAATTTTTAATGTGACACATTTTATATATATATATATATATATATATATATATATATATATATGTATATGCATGTATATAAATAAAAAGAAAGAACAGTAAGATATATGTGAATATATTAAGTTATTTTTTTTTACCATTCTCCGTTTATTAAAATATAAACGGAGAATTAAATACGAATCCGGTGTTCTTATAGATATTTTTAATTTTACAAAATAGTGCTCGATGTAAATTTACAGAGCATTAATATTATAAATTAATTGATTTAAATATGTTTTTTCCGCTACACAACCATTTTTAACCATTTTTAGAAACAGGGTTAAAAATATTTTAAATCAATTAATTTAATATATATATATATATATATATATATATATATATATATATATATATATATTTCTTAGAAGTGAATAAAAACTGCAATATGTCTTATTGTCTAATCTGTAAAATAATTTTATGGAAAATTCTATAAAATTAATAACATGATAAAAATATATCAACTTTTTGCTTTGTGATAAATAACAGAAAAAAAGAAAAGTAAAAGAATTGGAAAATAATAATAAAATTTCAGCAGGAAAAGCCCAAAGGAAGAAGAAAATGCAAAAGGTGAAGCTAAAAGTAATAAAAAACGAAAAATGAAAAAAGGAAAAGAAAATAAGAAAAGTAAAAGAAAATAGAAAAAAAAGAAAAAGAAAGCATAAAATTAAAAAAATAAAATAAAAAAGATAAAAGAAAAAGATAAAAGTAAAGTTAAGTAGAAAAATTAAATTGAAAAAAAAAGAGGAAAATGTAAAACAAATAAAGAAAAAAGTACGAAAGAACAAAGAAAAATAAAAAAAAATATAAAAAAACGTAAAAGAATAAAAAACACACAAAAAAATAGAAACCATAAAAAAAACAAAAGTAAAAGAAAATAGGAAAAAAAGAAAGCATAAAACGAAAAAGCAAAATAAAAAAGAAGAAAGATAAACGAAAAAGTTAAAGAAAAGAGAAAAGAAAAAGTTAACGAAAACAGAAAAAGTAAAAAAAAAAAAGAAAAAAAAAGAAAGAGAAAAAGAGAAAAACACATGCATCAACAGAGAATAATTCTGAACGATCGAAGCAAGAATTTTTTTTTCAAATGATATCCAAATACTAGATTCTAACAGGAATGGAAAAACATAAATGCAAAAAAAGAAAAGAAACGTTAAAAAAGCTCAATGAAATATACCGCGAATCTAATGTCCTTCTTTCTTTTCATCTTCTAATCTTTATTTCTTTCTTTTTCATCTAATAAGAGTATAACAAGCACATGCATCACAGCCAAATGTGCGCAATACTGTGACTGGTGTCGATAAAGCAACACATAACATTGCAGGTGAGGTCGAGTTAAAATACCTTCAGGTCGGATAATCCAGTCGGCTCTACATGTGACTCCCGAGTCAAACTTACAAAAATAAATAAAAAAAAACAAAAAAAAAACGCTTATATTGATCGCACATGAAAATGTGATTATTATTATTATTATTATTATTATTATTCATTTGATTTCTGTTGTATACACATTTCCTTCCGGGTCCCAACCAGAGACCTTAGGCTAGAAATGGCATCATGACATTTTCCATTGATTATTTTTGCCAAAAAAAAAAACCCCAAAAAAAACAAAAACGAAAGAAAAAATTTTAATATATATATATATATATATATATTCGTTTCATTTCATTTTTGGAAGTGCTATCTGATGATCCGGTGTCCTTTAAAAGGGCTCTGGTGAAATAAATTATTATAATGGTACCTTAAAGTGGTCTGTTTTTTTTTAAATATATATATATATATATATATATATATATATATATATATATATATATATATAGAAGTGATAACTTAAGATCACTGACATAGATACATAGATTTTACATAGATAAAAACCTTCGTAAGTAGTAATCTGTACAATTTTTTGTATTTCTTTAAAGCATGGGCTACCAGGGATCCCTTCAATGTGTCTATCAGAAGCTTTTTCGGTCAATCCGAAAGTTCCAACTACAACTGAAATTATTGATGTCCTCATGTGCCACATTTTTGAGATTTCCACTTAAAGATCCTTGTATTTTCATAGTATTTTTAAAGATCTTCCAAGATACATTACAATCTGTAGGGGCTGCCATCTTAATAAGAAAGCACATTCTGTTTTTGTGTGCTTTGATCACGATGCTCGCGCGATGAGCTTTCATTGTTTTTCTGTGTGTATTATAAAGTCCTTTATTATTATTATTATTATTTATTTATTTATTTTAATCTCTGTCTATATTTCTGCGATGAGATATTGTAAGTATTTACTTTTGTCCTCATCTTTATTGTTGCATTCACAACGTTTCGGCCGCGGTACGCTCCGGCCTTCTTCAGGTGATATTTGTTTGAATTTCGAACCAAACCCACAATAGTCAATATCAGAATAGTTCAGAAACGCCAACATGGTGATTGACTATTCTTTTAATCTGTCAATAAGTAAAATCTTCATTTACGTTAAATGGACGAATCACGACAATTTGATGTAATTGAAAATTTACGAAGGTACTGAGCTTATTATTATTATTATTATTATTATTATTATTATTATTATTATTATTATTTATCAATTAATTAATTAAATATTAAAATCAATTAATCAATTTGCATTTAAAATTAATAAAAAAAAAAAACATTATCCCTTTCGTCTCCCCAACCTGTTCAACCTGCCACGCCCATCGCCTAGTAGGTTGTCAGCGTTTCTAAGCGTTTCGTAAAATGTTATTTATTTAGCTTATTTCCTTTCATTTCCTTGATATATGGTTCCTGCTGTGAGGAATTGAATGTCAAGAATTCCACAGATACCATTATAAGTGGAATTTCCATGACTGTTTCTCGCTATTGCTTTTTTCTATGTTATTATGGAGATTCCATTCTTGCTAATTGGATCTAACGTCTAGAGCTTCCTTTTTGTTCATGTTCTTCTTCTTCTTCTTCTTCTTCTTCTTCTATCTACCAAGTCCCTTCAAGAAGTGGGCGATCATGGCTCTCCACAATTTCCTCTCCTTTGTAGCCGTTACTGAAAGATGTCTTTTGTTCTATCTCCCAATCCCTGTTCTTGCCAACCATTTACACAAGCACGTTAGTTACGTCATGTGATGCTTTCCTCTCTCTCTTTTTCCTTGCATATGCCATGTGAGTGTTAAATTTCCCAAGCCCTCTTTCCTCATTAAGTTAGTTTTCTTGAATTTTTAAAATTTATTTCCACTGCCAATATTCCTTTTATGATGTCGAACAGAAGATTGGTAAACAATTCTTGAATGGGATGTATGAAAAGAGAGAGAGAGAGAGAGAGAGAGAAAGAGAAAGAGAGAGAGAGAGAGAGAGAGAGGCCAGCTGCTTCCATAGGGACTGTATATTTAAGGAAAACCAAAAATTTTGGGGTGACAAACAAAGCTAATATATTCCCTTCTTTTGTCATTTAAAACAAAAATACAAAAATGTTCTATTTTCCCTCCCGAAATAAAGCAGAAGTGGAAATCATTGATGTCCTGTTGTTTTTAGTGTTGCTGTTATTATTATTATTATTATTATTATTATTATTATTATTATTAATTTCTGTGCTGTACACATTTTCTTCCGGGTCCTAACCAGAGACCTAAGGTCAGAAATAACTTCATGACATTTTCCACTGATCATTTAAAAAAAAAACAACGATAAAACCCTTCGTAAAGTCTGAGCTGTACTTGTTAGTTCAATATTTTGTATTTCTTTATATTTATTATTATTATTGTTGTTGTTATTGTTATTGTTGTTACTGCTGTTGTTGTTGTTGTTGTGCGTGGTATCATCCTGATAGGGAGTAATTTTAAGTGCCTAATTACCAAGTCCTCTGAAGGGTCCACGAGTAAAAACCTGTAGTCTAGTATCGATCCCTAAGCGCCGATATTCACTGAGGCAATAATGGCCCGAACTTCCCATATTCTGGTAACTTCACTTCAGAAGAAGGAGTATTTATTAAGCTTTTCATTTCCTTGTCATTAGGGTCGCCAGGAATAGCCACGTCGACGAAGACGCATTTTCTTGTCTTTATTATCACCATTATTGCGTGTGGTATCATTTTGCTTCATTGCCAAGAGTTCTCTCCGGGGGCTGTATGAGTCAAAAGAGCCCCGTAGGAAAGTTATCTATGCTAAGTACACATTTGAGACGTCTCGTTTAGATGGGGAGGGTTTTCTGAATGATATATGCATTTCGGAACAAAGAAATCTTTTGTAGCTCTGAGATGTCGACGTTTCCTAAAGTTTTACTCACATGGTTTCCGGTAGCCATCTTTATCATACCCAATGTCCCTAATCAGAACAGGGATAATCGTAGTTTTAAAGTTTCCACATTTGTGTTACTTCAGGTTTCAGGTCCTTATAACCTTCTTCTTCTTCTTCTTCTTCTTCTTCTTCTTCTTCTTCGTATTATTATCATCAGTTTTTATGGTAGTAGTAATAGTTGAGGTAGTGGTAGTAGTAATCATAGTAATATTAAAAGTAGTAGTCATATTAAAATAATTGTTCCTATCGTAAGTGGTGATTTTAAATCAGCTGTAGCCAATAAATAATGATAAATAATTTAATTTTGTCTTACGATAATCTTTTTGACTGATTGAGTTATTTTTTACGGTTTATCAAGCTTTTTCAGATTAATTAAAGCCAGAAAGTATTTTTTGAGTGTAAGAATTTTTTTTTGTGTGTGTGTGTGTGTAGACGCATGCAATAATAAGTTACTGATACGTTCTCTCATAGCTTTGGGGGGGGAGGTAGATCTATAACCTTCCCAAGTGTATGTACGCGTAAAAACCAGACTAATATTGGGACACGGCTCCCCGACTTCTAATTCCCAGCCATTATCCATTACACCACACGAACATCCAAGATCATAGCACTTTAGTATTCCCAAGCGGTCACCCAACTAGGTACTGTCCAGTCTCGACGTTGCTCCACTTCGGTGATCGTACGAGAAGCGATGTTTCAACGACACATAACGTTAGTAATACTCATGTAAATATGAAAACAATTGACAAAAAATTACAAAACTTCTCCCAAATAATCATAATAATAATAGTCACTGCATCACCATTTGTGACATCATTTGGATGGTTTTTGTACTATATATCAGGCACATAATTCGAACAGACATGCCAATGAATATCTTGTCCTAGCCTGTCAGGTTTAATAATGCATTCTTTAATGTGGAATTTCCCAGTTCTCCCAGACAGAAAAACTAAAGTAAATAGACCAAACCTAGTCATGAAAGATTTCAAAAAAGGAACCTGCCAACTAATTGCCTACAAAACTCCATTGATTCTAAAAAAAAAAGAATTTCAAAAATTGTCAAATTATAAGGACCTACCAATCTAAGTGACAAATATGTACAAACTTAACACTAAGATTATTCCTATTCTGATTATGAACATTGGGTATGATAAAGATGGCTACCGAAAATTATGCGAGTAAAGTTCATGGATACACCAGAAATTCGGGGCTATAAAAAGATTTCTTTGTGTGGAATTGCACATATCATCCGCAAAACCCTCTCCATCTAAACGTAACGTCGCAAATATGCATAGGCCACTCTCCTACAGTGTCTCTTTTATTCATAGACTACGTAGAGGACTTGATAAATGTTGTAGCCTAGAAAGGGTTATTGAATGAGGAATAACTAAAATGCAGATTGGAAATTAAATAGTAATCTTTATAACATCAACAAAATACAATACTCGCCGGCGGCATGAAGTAGGTAAACCACTGCTAGTGGTGGACTACTTAGATAGCATATTACTTCCACTTACAATACCGCATTAATGTTTAATGGCACATACCCATTAGTGTTCACCGGTACGGTATATAACACTATGTAAACCCCTATCTATCTATCTATCTATCTATCTATCTATCTATCTATCTATCTATCTATCTATCTATCTATCTATCGTTTGTAACATACAATAGGCTACTGAATGAGTAATACACTATACGGTGGTTGGAAAGGAAATGGTAATCTTTATAACATCAGCAAAATACAATACTCTACAATACTATATAAGACTCCTATCTATCTATCTATCTATCTATCTATCTATCTATCTATCTATCTGTTGTATCCTAGAAAGGGTTACCGAATGAGGAATAACCAAAGCGAGATTGGACATGAAATGGTAATCTTTATAACATCAACAAAATACAATACTCGCCAGCGGCATGAAGTAGGTAAACCACTGCTAGTGGTGAACTACTTACCATATTACCCCCACTTTCAATAGTGTCCAACGTATTGATGAGGATTGGGACCATTAGTGTTCATAGGTACGGTATATTACAACAACTCAGCACTTAAAATTGGCAAGATGATACCACACGCAATAATAATAATAATAATAACGTTAAGCACATTAGCCTCCTTGTGAACAAGAGGAGTCATGAATGGATTTTGATAGATACCCTGGGATAAGAACATCGTGAAGGTGGAGTAGGCCAAGAGGCACCAAGACTTGTCAGGGTAAATCAGAGATAGACGTCCAAGCAGCTGTTCATCTTGTCCTTTTGTGATGTTGGCACACTCGGGATTATTTCCGGGAATCTCTCAAGATGTCTTGAGGATACTTGACGTAATCGGGAGTGAGCAGGTGGCAGCAGTGCGCACTTGCTGAGGATAGAGCTGGATCTCTAAGCTGCGGATGGATTCTGAGTCATGATGATCAACACCCGACCGAAACAGTTAAGAGTCGGAGAAGACATCAAACTAAATAACAAGAAGAAAAATTTGGACTATACGCAACAGTCTATCTCCTCAGTGGTGCAGTACCAATGTAAATTAAAAAAAAGCCACACTTAATATCCGAATTTGTACAGATAGAATGCATATATTTACTGCGTTGCCTTAACCGAGGTCTTGGGTAATGACTAAGTGATGCCTTTTCATAGATATAACAAAGCCACCAGAGAAAAATATATATATATATATATATATATATATATATATATATATATATATATATATAATAAAAAGGCTTAAACACTAATATTCCATGGTCATAATTTATTCCATTGGAATCGTAAATACGATCAATTCATCAGACCTACAAATTCAAAAAAGAAAACAGAAAAAACAACTCCGGAAATAAAAACAGAATTTAGAGAGAGTGTAAGTATGAGGAGGAGGGAGATTAAACCATAACAGAGAGAATTTTAGGGGAGGTGGGTGGAAGGGGTTTAAGTAAGAGAAAAATGAATGTTGTCGGATGTCTAATGCATAAATATACATTTCGTGGTGACATACACACACCATAGACAATCTAATGTTAGAATAATAGGGAGGAAAAGACGACGTGGGGGAGAGAGATGGGACGACGGAAAGTAAAATTGAACGGCGTGCCGCTTTGTAATTGAGAAAATTTGACAAATTTAATATCGACTACAGATTACAAATCAAATATAAACATATAAAAATAAATATAACGATTATCGAATCCAGCAAGGACCTATATTTTTATGTTCAAAAACACATGCGAATACACACATACACAATAACATATACATATATATATATATATATATATATATATATATATATACGATCAAGAATATGAATAAATATAAGAATCTTGAAATTGAAAAGTGTGGCACTCCAAAGCTACTGTTATATCCATACGCAATTCTGAGAGAATTCCGGGATTCGTCATTGCCGGCTACAGTCTTAACAACACAAGATCCCCAGATGACACAGTACTGATAGTAGACACGGAAAAGAAATGACAAAACCTCCTACAGAAGGTAGCAAAGGAGAGCAAGAAGAAAGGACTAAGCATAAACTACATGAAGACAGAATGCATGGTCATCAGCAAAAAGGTGAGCCCAAAGTGCGATTTACAGGTCGGAGACATTACAATCAAACAGGTGCGGAAATTTAAATATCTGGGAAGTGTTCCAACAATGCGACGCTGAGATCCGAAGACGTATTGGGATGGCCAAAGACGCATTCCAAAAGCAAGGCAGAGTAGTACGAGGCAGGGGGATTTCGTTGGCAACAAAGAAAAGAGTAATAAAATGCTACGGGATATCTGTCTCCCTTTACGGCAGCGAATGTTGGACGGTCTCCTCAAAGATGAAGAAGAAACGCCAGGCGGCGGAGGTGTGCTTCTACAGAAGGATTATCATGGACCGAGCATGTGAGCAACGATGAGGTTTTGGAGAGGATGCGAACAATTAGAAAGCTCATACTTAACATCAGGGAGAGGCAGCTGAAATTTCTGGGACACGTAATGAGAAAGGAGGGCTTGGAGAATCCGATACTCACAAGTCGAATAGAGGTAAAGAGAGACAAGGGAAAGCAATGCACGACATACCTAGTGAGTTT